TGTACATACATTCCATGACTTTCTATACTCAGGTTGATTCTAGGTTTTCAATCAGACTTTATCTGTTTTTAACCGTGTAGTGGTTAGGAATAATTAGGCCATTTCAGAGGGCAGTTTGGAGTCAATCCCATTGCTGTGGGTCAGCACTCATATATAAGCCAGACCAGGTAAAGATCACAGATTTCCTTCCTTAAAGGGGATCAAGCTTTTTTCACCTTCTTTTATGGCAAGATAGTTAGTCGGATATAGATGGGTTGAAGGAATGGGCAAAAATTTGGTAGATGGTATACGATGGGAAAATGTGAACTTGACCTCTTTGGCAGCAAGGATAGAAAAACAAATAGTGTTTAAATGGGGAGAGACTTTAAGACAGCGGAGCAGAATTAAGCTATTCAGCCTATTGGGAATGCGCCATCATTCGATCATGACTGATATGTTTCTCGAACCCATTCTCCTGCCTTCTCCACGTAACCCTTACTAACCAAGAACCTTTCTATCTCCGTCTTTAAATATCACCAGCTAATATGGTGGGATTTGAATCCTTGTCCCAAAAACATTGGCTTGAGTCTCTTGCACAGTGACATTATATATGACACTCACCCTGGAAGGTTACCTTTGCACACACAGTCACATTTATTCATAGCTTAGTACGATTTGGCCTCCACGGCCTTTTGTGGCAATGATTTCCACAGATTAACCACCCTGTGGCTGAAAGAATTCCTCCCCAACTCAGTTCTAAAATCGAAAATGTATGCTTATTCTGCTGCTGCCAAAACCCAGGGACTTTAAGATCTTCAGTCTAATGCTCCCCCAACTGAACCATTTGGGCTGCCAAAGAGAGGCAGCAGAGCTTGGTATTATAGAGGGATTTGAATGTGCTGGTACACAAATAGGCAAATGTTAGTATGGTGTTACACCAAATGATTAGGAAGGCAACATGAGATGTTGTTATTTGCTGCAAGGGGAATGTAATATATAAGGAGGGAAGTTTTACTGAAGCTGTACAGGGCATTGGTGAGAGCACATATTGAATACTGTATATAGTTTTGGTCAGCTTATTTGAAAAATGATGTAGCTGTAGCAGTTTAAAGTAGGTTCACTCCTCATTCATGAGATGAAGGGTTTATCTTATGGAGAATGGCTTATCTTATAAAGTACATACACCCATTGGCCTTTAGAAGAATGAGAGGTGATCACATTGAAATGCAGAAGATCCTAAGGGGGCTTGATTAGGTAGATCCCATGAGGATCTTTCCTGTTATGGAGGTGACTAAAATTAGAGCATACAGTTTAACAATATGCAGCGTCCTTTTTAAGACAGATGAGGCAAACATTTTTTTCCTCTGAGGCATGTTTGTGGAATTCTGTTCCAGTGAAAACAATAGCAGCAGTTGCCATCCCAATGAATAATGGACAAAGTCAGAAGTCACATGACACCAGGTTATAGTCCAACAGGTTTATTTAAAATCGCAAGCTTTCCGAGTGCCGCTCCTTTGTCAGGTGAATAGTGGAGCAAACATGAGGGGCCAAATGGCCTGCTCCTATGTTCCTATGGTTTCATAGCCATTCCTGAGATTCACGTTTAATTCCAGAGTTATTTAAATACCACCAGCTGATATGGTGGGATTTGAATCCTCGTCCCCACAACATTGGCTTGATTCTATAGCACAATGACATAATATACCACCCAGTCTTTGGAAGGTTACCTTTGCACACGCAGTCACATTTATTCATACCTTAATGTCATGTATATAACAAAATTTTAAAATTTTCATGATAAGCTTATGAGGGTTGTTGGTGCTTTTTCAGCATTGCAGTCACTTTGGTCTGTGACCTGATTTTCTGTCACCTACGCAAACCTGATCATTTCAGACTCACTCATTGAGGCATTTCTGTTGTGGTTTGTGGCTCATTGCTGTCCGTGAGATTTGAAAGTTGGGTGTTTTTTAGGTCATGTTTTGTTCTTACCCACGCCAATGTTCTGAAAGTGCTTAAACAGACTTGTTTTCTTGCCTCTCATAGAGTTATAGAGATGTACAGCATGGAAACAAACCCTTTGATCCAACTCATCCATGCCGACCAGGTATCCTACATTAATCTAGTCCCATTTGCCAGTATTTGGCCCATATCCTTCTAAAACTTCCCTGTTCATGCACTCATCCAGATGCCTTTTAAATGTTGTAATTGTACCATCCTCCACCACTTCCTCTGGCAGCTCATTCCATACAAGCACCATCCTTTGCATGAAAATTTTGCCCCTTTTAAATATTTCCCCTCTCAACTTAAACCAATACCCTCTAGTTTTAGACTCTCCTACTTTATTCACCCTAACCATGCCCCTCATGGTTTTATAAGCCTCTATAAGGTCACCCCCCAGCCTCCGATGCTCCAGGGAAAATAGCCCTAACCTATTAGGCCTCTTTCTGTAGCTCAAACCCTCCAATCCTGGCAATATCCTTGTGTGTCTTTTCTGACCCCTTTCAAGTTTAACAACAGCTTTCCTAAAACAGGGAGACCAGAATTAACACAGTATTCCAATAGTGGCCTCACCAATATCCTGGATCCGGAGGTTGGTGGGGTGGTATGTGAGGTGTCCTCCGGATCCAACGCATCATCCTCCGACACTTCCGCCATCTGCAATCCGAGCCCACCGCCAAAGACATTTTTCCCTCCCCACTCTTATCTGCTCTCCGGAGGGACCACTCTCTCCGGGACTCCCTTGTCCGCTCCACACTCCCCTCCGGCCCCGCCACACCCGGCACTTTTCCCTGCAACCGCAGGAAGTGCTACACCTGCCCCTTCACCTCCCCCCTCACCCCCATCCCAGGCCCCAAGAAGACTTTCCACATCAAGCAGATGTTCACCTGCACATCTGCTAATGTGGTCTACTGTATCCGCTGTTCCCGTTGTGGCATCCTCTACATCGGGGATACCAAGCGGAGGCTTGGGGACCGCTTTGCAGAACACCTATGCTCGGTTCGCACTAAACAACTGCACCTCCCAGTCGCGAACCAGTTCAACTCCCCCTCCCATTCCTCAGACGACATGTCCATCCTGGGCCTCCTGCAGTGCCACAACAATGCCACCCGAAGGTTGCAGGAACAGCACCTCATATTCCGCTTGGGAACCCTGCAGCCCAATGGTATCAATGTGGACTTCACAAGCTTCAAAATCTCCCCTCCCCCTACCGCATCCCAAAACCAGCCCAGCTTGTCCCCGCCTCCCTAACCTGTCCTTCCTCCCACCTATCCCCTCCTCCTACCTCAAGCCGCACCCCCATCTCCTACCTACTAACCTCATCCCGCCCCCTTGACCTGTCCGTCCTCCCTAGACTGACCTATCTCCTCCCTAACTCCCCATCTACACTCACCTTTACTGGCTCCATCCCCGCCTCTTTGACCTGTCTGTCTCCTCTCCACCTATCTTCTCCTCTATCCATCTTCTATCCGCCTCCCCCTCTCTCCCTATTTATTTCAGAAACCCCTTCCCCTACCCCATTTCTGAAGAAGGGTCTAGGCCCAAAATGTCAGCCTTCCTGCTCCTCTGATGCTGCTTGGCCTGCTGCGTTCATCCAGCTCTACACCTTGTTATCTCAGATTCTCCAGCATCTGCAGTTCCTACTATCTCTGAAACAAAGTACTTTTACCCAGCCGTTTTCTCTTTATATAACTATAAATCTCTTATTGTCTTTTATGTCCCTTGCAAGTTTCCTGTCCTAATCCTTTTTAATTGTTCCTACAAGCAGCTTTTTGTCCCTTTGCTGCTTTCTGTATTTGTCCCATTCTGTGGGATCTGTACTGTGTTTTGTTTCTTTTTAAGCCCTTCCTTTTAATTGGATTTTGTCGCCTACTTCCTTAGATGCCCATGGCTGTTCTTTCTGTGAGGTGGAGCTTTTCCTTCTCATGGGTGCAAAGTGCTTCTGAACAGTATTAAATGTTTCTTTGAACCCCCTGCACTACAGGCCATTCTCAATGGCATATGCAACATTCCCCTTCACTCCTGCCAATGTGTTCTATTGGGCAGAAAAGTGCCGAGCAGCATCAGCATCATTTCTCATGATGGTAAGGGTAGAAACAGATGGGGGATTTGTTCTCAGTCAGACATAGTAAGAACTGCAGATGCTGGAGTCAAAGACATCACAGTGTGGAGCTGGAAGAATACAGCAGGCCAGGCAGCATTTAAGGTGCAGGAAAGTTAACTTCTCGGGTTGGGACCCTTCTTCAGAAATGGGGGAGGGGGAAGGGATCTGGGAAATAAATAGAGAGGAGGGGTGGGGCTGGGGAAGGTAGGTGGGATGGTAATAGGTGAGTGTAGGTAGGGAGCGGTCAATGAGGTGAGAGAAGATGGACAGGTTGTGTAAGATCTGTTCTCACTTTTGTTTTGTGGGTTCCCTAGTCCCTTTTTATCAGCCAGTTAGGGTTGAGTATTTTTCGTGACTTTTGACAACTTGCAACCCAGATTGTGGTATGCAGCTTGTCTGGTTAAGTGACTCAAACAGGTAGTGTAAGAAGGGGAAGCTGAAGAAAAGGGGAAAACATTGTCTAGAAAATAAGTCCAAACCACCCCTCCCTCGAACACACAAGGAAAAGAAAATCAAAGTAACTTGAACGCATTGCCTTGCAATGGAATCTAGTTACAGGACCCAATCCCTGAATGATTACTTTTGGCTACATATGATTCATCAGACCCATGTGTAAGCTTGCACGTTGTTAGTCGTAGGATTCCCTGCAGGCTGATCTTCTTGCTTTTCAGAGTAGTCAGGCACAAAGCTGACTCGGGCACTGCCCCTTTAAGAAATCTTGAGCGAGGGTATGTGTGTGCCGGCACTCTGTGCTGGTGCTGATGGTTCGGTGTTCAGGTTCCTCTGCTTTCGTAGTGCGCGAAGAGAGAATGTTTCCAACAGCGTCAGAACGACCCACAGGTTCCTTAGCCACACGCTGAAGAGCCTTGCCCCTGAACGCGAGGGCACTTTGCCTGTAATGACTTTCGGCGGAGTTTCAATGGGTTCCGTTTGCAGATACTTGTTCTCGCTGTGTTTGGTGAGCTCGGTTCTCTGTAGGGGCCGCAGCGAGGTGAGGAAAATCACCAGGCGGACTGCATACGGCGACTCAGGGGGACAGCAGGTAAAGTCCTACTGCTTTACTATGGGGGGCTGGGGGGGAAAAGAATGCTCTAGACAAACTAACAACACTTAGTCTACAGCATAAAAACAGGCCCTTCGATCACACTGCACAAATCCCATTTACCTACCAGAAAATATTAAATCATATTTTAATTAATCCCACGTCAAATACTTATAAGTAGGTAACACTCACTGTGCCTTCATTCTTATCCCGCCTGATGTATTTTTGTAGATATATGCAAGACTGTACAATGATAAGGGACTGAAGGTTCGTAGCTTGCATAATCCAAGTAGGATGACGTCTCTATTATTGTAGGATAAGTGTGTGTTCTGAATGTACTGAGGACTGAGTCTTCTGTATTTACCTTGTACCCAAAGGTACCTGAGTAAGTACACTATTTAAAGAGTTAATAAATGACTCCTGTGCACGTTAAGTGGATGAGGAACGGTTTACCATACTTTTTTAAAATCAGTCTGTTCAGAAATGTTATGACACACCTCCGGAGTAGATGGGACTTGGACCCGGGCCTCTTGGCTCAGAGTTAGGGACTCTTCCTCTGCACCAGAAGAGCCCCGGTTTGCTGTCTACATTAAAAGGATAGCCAATCATCTCGTATATTCAAAGGGTAAAAAGAAGGCCCCTGTGGAAACCAATAGGAGAGAGAATCATAGAATCCCTGTAGTGTGGAAACAGGCCCTTGGGCCCAACAAGTCCACACCCAACCTCAGAGCATCCCACGCAGACTCATCCCCCTATAATCCACCTAATCTAGGGTAATTTAGCATGGCCAATTCACCTAAACTGCACATTTTTGGACTGTGGGAGGAAACTCACGCAGACTTGAGGAGAATGTGCAAACTCCACACAGACAGTCGCCCGAGGCTGGAATTGAACCCCGGTCTTTGGTGCTGTGAGCCACCGTGCCGCCCAAAAGAGATGAAGTAAAGGGAAGAACCATCTTAGCCTTACTGGGGGATGCAGAAATTATCCGATATGGAAATGAGAAATAGTGCTGTGTGTTTTTATAATCCAGAGAAAAGTTATGAAATTGACTAGCATTTTATGATGTTTATGCTTCAATATCATCTACTGACAAGTGCAAGAGCTGACTGTCCTGTTGTAACATTGCATATCTGGGTGCAAATCACAGAAGACATTACAATGTGATACAACAAGCAATATTGGAGATTGTACATTCTGAAACTGAGGCAAAGAGGAAAAATAACCAATGCAGAATTGTGAGACACCAGGGAAAAACATCCTATATCTAATCAAATAATGAGAAACGCAGTGCAATGTAAGGATACTTTGCAAATCTTATTTGGGACCTTCACCTCCAAAAATACTGGACTTGTATTGAAATAAGGAAGAAGTGGCACAGTCTGGACAGGAGTATGAACAGGCATTTACCAAATATGTACAGGAGTCATGGGGTTACGTGTTATTCTCTTACAAGTGGGCAGGTGAAGAGTTTCAATCTACTTCACAAAATTGATGATGTTTCAACTACAATATCAGTCAATTTATGGCTTGAGTGGGCTCAAAGCTGAAACCTAAATCATTTTAATATAAATGTGATTTCTGATGGTGTTGTCTGAGCAGTGGCGATTGAATCTGTTTGTGGCCAAGAGTCATTGCTGTGGTCTGAAGCTGGTGAGCTGAACCTGTGATGTGTCTCCACACTAATGAAGCATTGTGGGCTGAGCTAGCATTTATTGTACATCTCATGTTCCCATTGTAGCTGTTGTCTTTGTCCTTCTAGAAGGCAGAGGTTGTGGCATTGGAAGGTGCTGTTGAAGGAACCTTGGTGAGTTGTTGCAGTGCCAATTGTAGATGGCATACACTGCCGCCACTGAGCACCAATGGCTAAGAGAGTGAATGTTGAAGATGGTGGACGGGGTGCCAATCAAACAGGTGCTCCGTCCTGGATGCTGTCATGCTTTTTGTATGTTGTTGGAGTGGTACCCATCCAGGCAAGTGGAGCATATTCTATCCCACATTCCTGATGGGTACCTTGTAGCGGGTGGACGTGCTTTGGGGAATTGAGGTGGGCTAGTCGTGCAGAATTCTTGGCCTTTTATAGCCACAAAATCATGTTTTTAAGACAAAGTAAGAAGAGAGGCTATGGAAGTACAAAAGGAAAGTTCTGTGACGTCATACAGAGCTGGGGAGATTAAATAATGAAAGATTTCTTGATGCAACAGGTCAGAGTTTGTTAGTGGTTATGGTAAGATAAGAAAAGTTAGATGCAAATGAGGCATGAATGGCTACATTAAAAACTATTTGAATGCAACATGCAGGGATAGAACAGAAACAACAAGATCAGCCCAATGAAACAAAGCAGCAAAAAAAGGACAAGATAAAGGCAAAGGTTCGCATCTAAAATTGTCAGTCTCAATTTTGAGTTCAAGCCTGTGTTAAGCTTCATTTGCAGCCAGAAAGGACCTTATTGAGCTTTATTGCTCAGTTCTATGCTGGACAAAACATTTTCCAACCAAGTTATTGAACAATAAATTATTTTTCTAAATGAATCACCGCAATAAGAAAGATTGGTTGACAGGTGTATTCAAGGTCTAAAGTTACAGGAAAAGTGAGTTTTACAATATGGAAAAAGGCTCTTTGGTCTATCATATCTGCACTAGTCATCAATCCTATCCACCTCCTTCAAGCACCTATCCCACTCTGGTCCCAGATGGCTCCTCTGTTTACCATCCTTTCTGGCAGTGAGTTCCAGATACTCACTGTCCCCTGGGTGAAAAAATTCTTCCTTAAGAAAGTGAAATCATTGAATGCAGCAAAAGCCAATCCACAAACATCAAAGCACAAAAATGTGATTTCAGCTGGAAACATGATGGAATTGCGGGAATTGAAGCCCTAACTAGGTGCTCAGAGTGTCAATCATTAACTGACTAGATTTTATGTCAAGTTCAGCTTTCCTTGAAATTGGAAGCGAAACAAAACCTGTGAAGTGCTGGAACTTTATTTAGTATCTTGTAATTTTGCTGCTGGTTCTGTGGCCTTATTTCCATTTCACTTGAAGTAAATGTCAAGAGGGAGATGTGTAGATCAGAGAAAAGGAGATGGGCCAGGATGAAAAGTTAGTGATCTAATCCAGAGATAGTAGGAACTGCTGGAAAATCTGAGATAACAAGGTGTAGAGCTGGATGAACACAGCAGGCCAAGCAGCATCATAGGAGCGGGAAGGCTGACGTTTCGGGCCTAGACCCTCTAGGCCCGAAATGTCAGCCTTCCTGATCTAATCCAGATCTCTTTTTCTCTGTGTGGATACAGCTAGATGTGCTGATACTTCCACATCTTTTGTCTTTATCTCAGATATTCCATATACACAATATTTTGTTTTTGAATAAGTAAACAAGCTCTAGCTTTATGTCGTCGCTTGGCTTGAATTAAACCACCAAAGAGATCTTTGGCATCAATTTTCATTGTAATGTATTTTCCTGGGGCTATTTTTAATGTCACACCCAATCCTTTTGTCTTCTATTTGTTAATGCCAGTGTTTTTTATTCACTCGTGGTAGCTGGGCCAGCATTTATTGTCCATTCCTGGTTGCCCTTGAGAAGGTGGTGGTGAGCTGCCTTCTTGAACCACTGCAGTCCACCTGCTGTAGGTGGACCCACAATACCCTTATGGAGGGAATCCCAGAACTTTGACCCAGCAACAGTGAAGGAACAGCAATGTATTTCCAAGTTCCGACGGTGAGTGGCTTGGAAATGCAGGTGGTGGTGTTCCCATGTATCTGCTGCCCTTGTCCTTCTAGATGGATTTGGTGGTGGATTTAAAAGATACTGTCTAGGACCTTTGGTGAATTTCTGCAGCAAATCTTGTAGATAGTAGCAGCAGTGTGTACTGAGCATCGATAGTGAAGGGAGTGAATGTTTGTGGATGTGATGCCAATCGCTATCTGGTCCTGGATGGTGTCAAGCTTCTTGAGCATTGTTGGAACTGCACTCATCCAGGCAAGTGGGGAGTATTCCATCACACTCGTGACTTATGCCTTGTAGATGGTGAACAGGCTTTTGGGAGTCCAGACCTGACTTACTTGCTGCAGCATTCCTAGCCCCTGACTTGCTGTTGTAGCCGTTGTGTTTGTGGTGAGTCTAGTTGAGTTTCTGGTCACTCATAACCCTCAAGGATGATGATAGTGGGGGATTCAGTGATGGTAACACTGTTGAATGTCAAGGGGCAGTGGTTAGCTTGTCTCTTATTGGTGATGTTCATAGACTGGCATTTGTGTGACGCAAATGTCACTTGTCAATCCAAGCCTGGATTATGTCCAACTCTTGTAGCATTTGAACATGGACTGCTTCAGTATCCGAGGAGTTGCGAATGGTACTGAACATTGTGCAATCATCAGTGAACATTCCCACTTCTGACCTTATGAAGGAGAGAAGGTAATTGATGCAATAGTAGAAGATGGTTGGGTCTTGGACACTACCCTGAGGAACTCTTGCAGAGATGTCCTGGAGCTGAGATAACTGACCTCCAATAACCACAACCATTTTCCTATATATCAGGTATGACTCCAACGAGCAGAGAGTTTGTCCCTGATAACCATTGATGCCAGGTTTGTTAGGGCGCCTTGATGCCACACATGGTCGAATGTGGCCTTGATATTAAGGGCTGTCACTTTCACCTCGCCTCTGGGATTCAGCTCTTTTTGTTCATGTTTGAACCAAGGCTATACTGAGGTCAGGAGGTGGCCCTTGCAGAACCCAAACTGGGCAGCTACATCACTGGCATCTACTTGACAACATGATGGAGGGTATCCTCAATGTGAAGGTGGGACTTTGTCTCCACAAGGACTATGCGGTGGTCACTCTTACCGATACTGTCGTGAATATATCTGCAGTGGGCAAATTGGTAAGGATGAGATCCAGTATGTTTCTCCCTTTTCTTGGTTCCCTCACCACCTGCCGCAGACCCAGTCTAGCAGCTATGTCCTTTAGGACCCAACCAGCTCGATCAGTAGTACTGCTGCT